GGTGAGCACGAAAGCACTAGTCCCAATGACCAAGTCAATAAAGCATGCTATCTACTACAAAGTGAATGCGCACCTAGTCCCAATGACCAAGAGGTCGAGATGGGGGACTAGGATGCGAACTGCTCAGTATATAAACAACTCCCGCAATCTTCGGATCCTGATCATGCTACCGATAACCATCTGCTGTCGCGGAGGTAGTACAGCGCTGCTGTCAAGCGTCCGCATGGTCTGCATAAAGTCCGAATGTTGTCGGGAGTAATGCTCGAAGGGAAACATAAGAGGTCCGAGGTAACTCCAGACGTGGAGCAAACTCCGAAATCTTCGGAGGGTCCGAAGGTGTCCGAAGGCGTGCGGAGATGACCGGAGGTGCGCGGACCTGGCTCTAAGTGTGGAAAGGAGAGAGAGGAGGAAAGAGAAAAGAAAGAAAAGAATAGGGGCCTTGGTCGTCTTCACGACAACGTCGGTAAGCCTCGCTTTGCCGTGGTGCAACTCTCAGCAAAACATAGGCTAACTGACAACGTGTAGCTACTGCCCGCCCCTCTTCTACCTCCTCAACTGAATCCCGCCAAAGCCCACCTCTATAATGTTCGGCGGCCGCGTAGAGCACACTATGGCTTTGCTGTTACCTCGGACATCTTGGTTGAGCACGCCCTCCGCTGGTACTCGACCGAGTTCACCCGTGAGGACTTTGACCGTGCCGATCCTATTCTGGTTAGAACCGTCGCCGTGGGGGCTGCTGAAGAGCACCTGGAACTCGACCCAGAGCACCCGATCCTGGAGTTTCCTCTTGTTGAGACGCCTGATGGGCTGAGGCCATGCATTGCTATATATGACAGCCATATACGGAGCAGCTGGAATCTGGACGAGGAGAAGGAAAGGAAGCAGATTGAAGTTATCAAGCGCGAGCTCATGTTACCCGAGACGCAAGAGCCGATGTGGTATTATTCTAATTGCCGGTGAGCCTACATGTGGCATTGCTGCTACATCCTGCGACTTCTAGTACATCACTTCTTGCATTTCCTGAGTGCGGCTCAGGTTAATCCGCCAGTCAAACAAGCTTCGGACATTAAGTTCAAGTTGGCCATGTATGATGCCAGCTTCGTGGGCCCTACCATCTCTTATGGTCACTCATAGAGAGCGATCCCGAACCAAGAAGCATCCTACGTTCTTTACCTTAGGTCATTTCACCTATTGTGTTACGGTACACAATCAATCGCAATAAAGAGGGGTTCGGGGGAAACAACGCGTCGCGTCGCGTACTCTATGGGCGTGTCGCGTGGGAACCCGAACATCTAAGTACTGAGCGTTGTTGTCATCAGTCTCAACTTCATACCGTCGTGTGACTCGGCCGCTCGCAGTTGTGGATTCGCTCAGTACATAATCTGGCAGTGTAACGTTCAACCCTGCGTGCCATGGATACCGACCTCTATCAGTGCGCTGTCTCTGCAGGTGATCTCGATGACATCAACGAAAAACTCAGGCTGTTCCAGGTCTCTTCCAAACTTTCTAACGGGGAGGTAGGCTTTGCTTCAATCTAAGCCGAGGACGAACACTGGACTGACCAACAATATTCAGCTACTTCCTGCCCTTCAATTACCCCCTGAATTAAGCATCGTTAACTCCCCCCCGAATCAGCCACCGCGCAGGGCATTCTATGGCTTTGTTGTCTCCAAAGACATCTTGACTGACTATGCCCTGCGCTGGTACCAAGGCAAATTCACCCGCGAGAGTTTCAAAACTATCAATTGCGCCTGGGTTAATACCATTTGTATTGGTGCTGCGAAAAGGCATCTGGAACTCGACCCGGAACACCCAAGAATCCGGATTCCTCCAGTTGATACGCCCGACGGGACCAAGCCCTGTGTCTCTATCTACGACAATCACTACGTTCCTGGCTGGAACCTGGATGTGGAGACGGAGACGCGGTTCATTGAGTTTATTAGGACTGAGCTGGAGTTGCCAAAAACGCAGGAGCCGATGTGGTACTACTGCCATGGCAGGTGAGAGGTGTTGCATTAATATTGCTGGATCGTTCCGGCTGCACTTCCTGGTTCTACTCGAACACTCTGTCTCATTCATTTTCCGAACAAATCATGTGAAGTGTTGTCTTGCCTTCTGCACCTTGTACAATACTATCTTGGCCCCCACAGCATACATTAATGTTTGATATTTTAGTCAGAGTGCCAATTGAAATTCCTTTCCGAGATGGGCCTAAGGGCTTCCTTGAGAGTGCTGTCTTGCGTTCTGCTCTTGTACCATACTGCCTTGGCCCCGCGGCATACATTTTATATGCAGCATGTGAGTCTAATTGACGAGAGCTTGCATGAAGATGTCGAGTCAGTAGCGAGGCATATTTATGCGAAGTGACGTGACGCGACGCGACGCGTCCTCTGAAAATGAGCGTGTCGCGTGAGATCTTTAGAAGCTCCATCCACAAGCCATCCACGTGGCACAGCTGGACTTTTGTGCACCTGAACTCAAGAGCTCAAGCACTCGCTGGCACAACTTTGCTTTAACCCTGTCCTAAACCGATCAGATCAGCCCGTGTGTACCATGGATAGCGATAGTGGTCACGGCATCTCTGCAAAGGACCTCAGCGACAGACTTGAACAGATTCAAATGTCATCCGGACATTCTAACGAGGATACAAAACCCAATAGGAAGCCCAATAGGGCTCAGAAGCCGGTAGGTCTTGTTCAGCTTCAACACGCAAAACATAGGCTAACTGGCAATACGCAGCTACTGCCTGCCCATCTTCTACCTCATCAACTGAATCCCGCCAAAGCCCATCTCTATAATGTTCAGCGGCCGCGTAAAGCATATTATGGCTTTGCTGTTACCTCGGACGCCATGGTCGACCATGCCCTCCGCTGGTATGAGGGCAGGTTCACCCGTGAGGATTTCGACTGTGCCGACCTTAGCCATGTTGAAATCATCTGCGTGGGAGCTGCTGCGAAGCACCTGGAACTCAACCCAGAGCACCGGAGGCTGGAGTTTCCTCTTGTTGAGACACCCGACGGGCTGAGGCCATGCATTGCCATATACAACAGTCATGAACGGAGCGGCTGGAATCTGGATGCGGAGAAAGAGAGTGAGCAGCTTGAGTTTATCAGGAGCGAGCTCAGGTTACCAGAGACGCAGGAGGCAATGTGGTATTTTGCTAACTGCCGGTGAGTCTGAGTGTGGTGGCATCACTTATGCGTCCAGCTGCGACCCTCAAATCATCACGTTTGTATTATCGAGTACAATCCAAGTCAATCCTGGCCATGAACCAAAGCAATGACTCGGAGGACACGTCGCATGCATGGTTGTGAACAATGAGCATCACTGTCTCATTGGATGGTCTCACCCGGGCCCGTGAGGACGTCGAATTTATTGATCCTTTCTCTGATCGGTAGCCTCTGCGTCACGGACATTTAGAGAGCGACAGAAACACGAGCCTCAGCCCGATGGACTCCGGCCCTGTGTCTCCATGTATGACAATTACGAAGTGTAGCTTTGTGTGGCAATGGGTGCAAAACAGACACAGTTCCTCAAGTTTAGTCGGAGAGCTTGGCTTGTCGTCGGAGACGCAAGAGCCGATATTTGTGGTATGCCCGATACCTTTTACAGTAAGGTGATTGGGTCTATGTGCCCATATCCACTGAAGTAGTAACAAGGTTTCCCAGAGAGCTGTTGGCCGTGTAAGTTGCTGCCCAGGTGCAGTCGCTCGCTTCTGACCAGTGCCAGGTCCATGTCTATCCTACGGCCCTCGCCATATGATAATAAATCGTCCCGGACGGCGTTTTTTTTTCATCCAAATTGATGCAAGCGACGAGGATTGCGAGAGGATAGTATCGGCCGGGGACTTGCTAAGGTGATGCGACGCGTCGCGCCAATATTTGGGCGTGTCGCGTGGGAAACCCGACTGTCCGTCCAGCCTCCGCTTCAAGAATCGAAAGTGTAAGTCGACTTTGTCCTGGATCTGCCAGTTTCACGCTACGCCCCATGGATACTGACGCCGCCCAGCAATTTTGGTCTGCAGGCGATCTCAACGACGTCGACGAAAAACTCAGACAATATCAGCTCTCTTCCAAATATTCTAGTGGGAATGTAAGTCTTGCTCAGCTGCGGGCCAACACTGACTCAACTGAGCAACAATACGCAGCTACTTCCTTCTCCTTACCTGCCTCCGGAATTAAACCTCGCCGAAGCACCCCGCTATTCCAATAGGCAACCTCGGAGGGCGTTCTATGGCTTTGCCGTCTCCACTGACCTCTTGCTTGATTATGCCCTGCGCTGGTACCAGGGTATCCTCACCCGCGAGAGCCTCAAGGACGTCGATCCTTTCTGGGTTACTGACATCTGGGCGGGTGCTGCGCACCAGCATCTAGAGATCGACCCAGCACACCCGAGGTTGAACGTTCCCATGGTTGAGACGCCAGACGGACTCAAGCCCTGTGTCGCCATCTACGACAGTTATGATAATCTGGGCTGGAATTTGACCGAGGAGGAAGAGACGGAGTTTCTTGGGTTCATTAAACGTGAGCTTGGATTGCCGGAGCTGCAGCAGCCAATGTGGTACTATTGCCACGGCAGGTGAGAGATATTGGATTGTTGGTTCGTGCTTGCCGCACACTATGGCTTTATTTGAACGCTGTCTTGCGATCATTCACTTTCCGAACAATTACATCTCAAGGGTTATCCTGTGTTCTGCACCTTGTATTACACTACCTTGTCCCTCTCGGCGTACGTTTTAGTTTATTATGTTAGTCAAGCCGCTGAGGTTAGGCATGAGCAAATATCAATGCGAAGCGATGCTGAAGCTGAAGCAACGTTAACTAAAGCGACGCGATGCGATGCGTCGCGTCATTTGCAAATGAGCGTGCCACGTGAGAAGCCATTCACGCGTCGCACGTTGGACTTTCGTGCACTGTCACTCAAGCACTCACAACTTTACTTTGACTCTGTCCTAAACCCTCGATTAGATTGGCCCTGTGCACCATGGATAACGATAACAGTCATAATATCTCCGCAAAGGACCTCAGTGAAAGACTCGAGCAGATCAATGTCTCGTCCGAGCGTTCTAACTTAACAAGGATAAGAAACCCAAGAGAAAGTCGGTAGGTCTCGCTTGAGCTCTAGCGCAGCCCTGTTAACGAATCATATACTAACTTGTAATACGCAGCTTCTACCTGCACCTGATTTACCTCCCCAATTAAACCCCGCTAAAGCCCATCTCTATAATGTTCGGCGGCCACGCAGAGCACATTTTGGCTTTGCTGTGGATATGGACATCTTGGTTGACCACGCCCTCCGCTGGTACTCGAGCGAGTTCACCCGTGAGGACTTCGACCGTGCTGATCCTATCCTGGTTTCAACTGTCTCCATTGGGGCTGCTGAAGAGCACCTGGAGCTTGACCCAGAGCACCCGATACTGGAGTTTCCTCTTGTTGAGACACCCGATGGGTTGAAGCCATGCATTGCTATATATGACAGCCACATACGGAGCGGCTGGAATCTGGACGAAGAGAAGGAAAGGAAGGTGATTGAAGTTATCAAGCGCGAGCTCAGGTTACCCGAGACGCAAGAGCCGATGTGGTATTATTCTAATTGCCGGTGAGCCTGTGTGTGGCATCGTTGAGACGCCCAGCTGCGTTCTAAATCTATCATGTATGTAATATCGAGTGCAATCCAAGTCAATTATTATACCAATGCAATGAAGGCTGCAGGAGTATGTCGCCTGAACAATAAAACGCGTCGCGTCGCGTACACGGGTGTAAAAGGCCTGGCCTGGTCAGAACCCACGCACTGGAGCGGTCCAACCTCGAGCTCGAAGGCGCGGGTAGTTGACTGTTCCATAATTGCCACCAGTTTTGGTCGAGGCTCTTCAAAACGACAGGTTGAGTGGTGAAGAGAAATTGTAACTTAGGGAGTAGATAGTGTATTAAATATTCCTGTCTAGTATGCGCATGTCGATCAACACACCGGTTTAAACTCGAGTCATAACCGTGCCCGGATCTTGGTAGCGATGTCCTGTCCCTCATCATCATCCAGCTCCGACCTCGACTCAAACTCCCGTTGGTGCATCTCGCGTTTCGTGAACGGGACCCGCTGGTCCTTCTGCTTGGCTTTCTCAAACTCTTTTCGTTTCTGTGCGCTGGCGTCGAACGAAGGCGCCGGGATTATGTGGTAATGAACCTGCAAACCAGAAGAACATTCAACATTTTCTAACGTCAATGCAAAGCAAGCAGGGTGAGGGTGCATACGTGGGGTACTGCTTGCGCATATTCTTGGTTGCATACCACGTTTAGAGCGGTATTTTGCATCGCTGTCACCGCGTCAGCATGCCTCTCCCAAGCTAAGGCGAACATGAGTACTCACCTTGGGTCAGTGCTTTGGCAACTTTCGACACGGCTTGCCCTATCGCAGCAGCGTACTCAGGTGGGAGCTCCGACAGTCTCGAACAGTGGAGCTTCGGCACAACGAGCGTGTGTCCAGGCCTGAGCGGCAAGATATCTGTGGAACAAGGTCATGGGTACCATCCATCCCTGCGGCTGAATAGACACGAACCGAGGAAGGCGACAACTTTGTCATCTTCGAAGACGCGTGTAGAGGGAAGCTCGCCGTGTATGATACGGCAGAAGGCGCATGTTGAATCGTTCTTCCAGTCCTGGCACACCTTCCGGTCTACATGCGCGTCAATCATGAACGAGGTCATCCGATAGCAAGCGCAGACCTGGAGCCAGCGCTTCTCGAGGTCGGAGAGGGAGAGCGTCGGTGTTGTGCGGAAGTCGAGTGCATCGGCATATGCGTGTTCCGTCTTCCGAGCCCGTCCCTAACGCCGTCACCGTCTCACGTGGCAATCAGGGGCTTAGCGCTTAGCAATTAAAAAAATGAGTTGAGTGGTAGATGCGTCTATGTTATGATTGTATGATATTGGTCTATGCAAGGGTAACGTAAGATGTATGAAAATTAGCTGAACAAAGCCCGGAGCCCCAGTGCCACTACTCCTCCAGCAAGTGCGCTCCCTGTCGAGAGAAGAATCTGTCGCTCCCTGTCCGTCTTGGGCATCCAGGCGAACCAAGAATCAGGCGATGGCTCCTCCGAGGCAACCAACGTTTCACCCTCCAACAAAACTGGAGGTGCACTTGGCGCCTCCACCGCCTGCCTCACCGCAACATGCCCCACCACCTCCGCCAACAACAGCTCGTGTGCCTCTAACCTCTTCTCCAGCCTCCTCGCACCCTCCTCCACCACGCGCCTGTTCTCCACCCCCATCTCCTCCACCTTGCCCTCGAACGTCTGCGCAAGCCTCCTTCGCTTCCACGGCTCCACAAGCACAATCGCCAGCACGAACACGAACATGTTCACGCCCAACACCGCCAAACTCCCGTACGTCGACGCGCTCCGGATCTTGTCGCTCCACACCTGCTCCTCGTGGTAGCGCGCGAGGATGGCGCGCATGAGCGCGGAGAACTCCTTGTCGACCGCGTCCTCGGACGTCGCCACCGCGGCCTTGGCGCGCGCCTCGGCCTGCTCGAGCGCGTGGTCCGCGCGCACGAGCTCCGTGAAGCGCGAGACGTCGGCGTCGCTCCAGCCGGACTTGCGCTGCAGCAGGTCGTTCACCTCGCGCTGGGAGACCGCGCGCTGGACTACTGCGTCGTCGTATGCCGTTTTGGACTCCCGGGCAGCTCTGCGTGCGGCTTTTATTTTAGCCTCTTAGGTGGCCATGGATGTAGATATGTCAGTGTGTGGTGTGAGTGGTAGATAGAATAATGAGATGCACCTTGCTCGGCCACCGTCTGCTTGAGCGCCTCGATCTGCTCGTATCCCGTCACTTTGTTGAGTTCCGCGCCGAGTCGGGAGAATCTCTGGAGTGCGACGGCCGACAGGTTGTTTGTTCGTTCCCGAGCGGCGGCGGCAGCTGCGGCCGTGAGCTCGTTGAACCGCCCGCGAAGCTGCTCGACGTCCAGAGACTTGGACAGTGGTAGTAGCGGTCGCTCCTCCGAAGGCGTTTCGGGCCTTGTCTGCTCCGCTGGCGTTTGCGTCGGTGCAGCAGGCGCTTGCGGGGAGGCTTCAGAGTCCTTGGCCGACGCTACGTCCCCCTGCTCGGGCGCACCCAGTTGAATAGTTGAGTTACCGGAAGCTTCCCCGTCCGAACTGGCACTTGGATTTGACAGCGGAACATCACTTGACGGTTGCGCGTCCTCGCCTTGAGCTCGAGAGGACTCGAGAGGGTTCCGCTCATCGGAGGTAGACGGCGCGCTCCCCGACGCGGTATGCGATGCCGAGTTGTAGAGTCTGCCCAGACGAAGCGCAGGCGGCGAGCGCGCAGGGGAAGGGACCGCTCGGAGCTGCGTAGACTGCCATAGTCTGCTTCGAAGCATGGCCAGTCAAACGAACGGTGTAGGCAAGTCCTTCACCTCGCTCGTACTGTGGCGGGTAGGAAATTGAAAGGTGACATCAGCTCTCAAATTACACCCGGTCCGATGGACCTTGGCCTTACAATTTCCCCAGTGCACACTTCAGAATCAGTGTGAACATTTGAACCCCTCACTTATTCGTGATCACACCGCACAACTTAATGTCCGCAAAACGATTGTTCGAGGTATATCAAGACGTTACGGGGAGGTGACTAAGGGACAGATTATAAATAACTGCTGTAGGTACGTCTATAATACGTGCATCCCTCCTTCATCCACGTCGGCACAAAACGTCGACATTCGGCAGCCCATCTGGAAACCCAAGGCAAAGGACGACCGACAGAGAGTGAGGGGAGGGAGGGGTCATAATGCAGAGGGAAAAAAATTCCATACGTAGTAGGAGGGGCCACAAACAGTCTAAACCAATTCCTGTGTCGGTGACGTCCCCGGGGACCTCGCGCGCGAGTTCCAAAACCACATCGAGAGAGAAAAGAGAGAACAGAGGTAGCAGTGCAGCATCTAAACGCGTGAAGCCTTTAGCTCCAGACATCGAGCATCATCCGCGAGCGCTCCTTGAGAAGCTTGATCTCGGCGGCACCCTCGACCTCGGCACTACCGCCCTTGGCCTCGCCGAGAATCTTCGCGAGACCCTCCTCGACAGACTTGCTCATCGACTTGGCGTCACCACAAATATAGATGTAGCCCTTGCCGTTGAGAATGGCGTCGGCGATCTTGTCGCGGTCCTCCATGATCAGGTCCTGGACGTAGATCTTGCTGCCATCAGGTCTGAACACCTCGCGCGAGAACGCGTTGCGCATCGTGAACTTGCCCTTAAGCTCCTGCTCGTACTGTGGCCACTCATCCTTGTAAAGGAAATCCTCGGTCGACTTGCGGCAGCCATAGTAAAGGTAGATCTGGCCCCAGTCAGCGAGAGCATCGGGACCGTTCTTCTCGAGCGTCCGGCGGGCAAGGGCAACACGCTCTTGAACGAAGCCGCGGAAAGGAGCGACACCCTATGCAAGTGTGAGCAAGCTATTCGTTGAGAAACGCGTTGACGACTACTTACAGTACCAGGACCAATCATGATAACCGGGCTCTTGGGGTTCGTGGGCAGACGGAATGTCGAGCGGCGGACGTGGACCGGAACCTTGTAACCACCCTCGAATTTGTGCGCACCACGGGGACCCTGAATGGCGTATCTGGGCAGCGAGACCGAAGCAGCGTCACCATTCGCCGCACCAGGGGATGACAAGAGGGGGATCTCCTCGCCCTGGGCAGCCTGCTTGACATTGAGCAAGAAGTTGGTGCCAACACCATAAACCCAGCGAGTGTTGGTGTACTCGTTGGCCACGGACTCGTACTTGAGGACGACAGCGGTAACGTGAATGGAAGTGGGGTTGAGCTTGGGGCTGGAAGAAATCGAGTAGAACCGGGGCTGGAGACGAGGGATGGCCGAGATGATGACATCGAAAGGAATGGTCCAGACGGTAGTGTTCTCCGGGGTGGGGGGAGCCGAGATGTCGTTGCCGGCAGCAAGCTGGAGAATTTCGCCAAGCTTATAGCAACCAGTTCCGATAACAGCGGCGTACTGTTCCTTGTCCGAGTTCATCTTCTTCATGAAAGCCTCAGCCTCAGGGGTAGGAGCGAACCGAGAGAGGGAACCGAGAATTTGACGACCGGCAGCGGCGCTGATATCAATGTAGTGGCGGAGAACGGCGTTGTAAGTGGTTGGGACGGGGAAGGGGACCTTGGCCAGAGCAGGGTCGAGAGACTCGACGTTGATCACTGTGTCCTTCTTCTCGGTCAGACCAAGAATGCAAAGCAGACGGTCAACCTCGACATCCGGGTTAAGAGGCCAAACGCCGACGTGGTCACCATGTTGGTAGGTAATGCCAGATCCTTCGATGTCGAGCTCCATGTGGACACAGTTGCGCTCACCGCCGACCTGGAAGAGTTCACGAGCAGCCTTGACAGGCGAAGCGTATGGGTTCTTGGCGTCGTGGATGCCCTTTGTCTTGGTCAAAGCACGGGCCGACAGTTCACCTGACAGTGTCAATCCGCGTTAGCTATATACGGCTAACTCTATTTTGGATGTCGAAACTCACCTTGATAGACCTTCTCAGGAGCCGAAGCGTCAACCTCTGAAACGGCGAAGTCGGGCGTATCGCCTCCCTGGCCTTCCTCGACACCCATAGCAACCGCGAAGGCATCCCACATGCCATCCTTCCATTCAAGGTAGTCCTCCTCCATGCTCTTGTCGTCGTCACCCTCACCGCGCTCGCCGATACGGACAGCGCCCATCTTGGTGAGTTCTTCATCGACTTGACGACCGATGGCGTTGTAGTGCTCGTAGGTGCGGTTACCGAGAGAGAAGACGACGTATTTGAGGCCTTCGAGCTTGTGCTCGCCGTTGGTGAACTCGAAAGACTCCTCGGACAGGTTCTGCATGAGAGTGACGGCATTGTCGGTGGGCTCACCCTCTCCGTAGGTGGCGACGACAAAGAAGACGGCGCAGTCCTCGGGGAGCTGGTCGAGGTTCTCAAAGTCATACTCTTCGGGGTCACAGACGAGGGAAGTAAGGCCGAATTTGGACTTGGCTTCCTTTGCTAGACGGATAGCGTACTCTTCGGCAGTACCGGTCTGAGAGCCGTAAAAGATGACAAGGCGTTTTTTCTGTGAATGTGTCAGAAAAAATGGATGACTTGTGCTAACTGTTTCAAGTACTTACGCCATCCTTCATCTTTGCGATGAAATCCCGTGGGTTTCCATGGCCGTTAGTGGCCTTTGAAGGTGCTATAGGAACAGCCTTTGGCTTTGAGGAGGTGAAGAGGGAGTCTCGGAAGAGGTATGCTGCGGCGAGGACGACGCCGAGGGAGAGGATGACGACGTCGGAGGAGGACGCGACGGCCATGTTGAATCTTCTAGAAAACAAGACGAATAGACCGGCGGGGAGAGGAAAAGGGAGGGTCGGGTGGCAGAGAGCAGGAGACGCTCTAATGGCCGGGCGAGTGCAGCAGATTTGATGAGGGACAGAACAGAGAAGGCACAGAGACGCTCGCACTAAAGAAGAACGTGGTCTCTCAACTTTCCCACGAAAAATATCCTGACGCCGGGTGATGCGGGCGATGCTCAAGTATTAGAATCGGCTGTAGAGTAGTAGGAGATCTAGTAGCAGGACAGAGAACAGACTAGCAGTGTGGTACAGGTTGTGATCCTCGCCCATCCAAGTACTTATATCCCTCAACGCAGCAGACCATCGGGCTGTGATGACTAGGCTGCGGTCACTGGCATCGCACTCCGCCACCCCGCGTTTTACGTCGCATGATTGACATGGACAGCCCGGCAGAGCAGCAACGTCAGCATATCCGTACTCTGCTCTTCCTTATTCCCCGTCCTTCTCCTGTCTTCGTTCGTCCACCCGTATGGGTCGATTTGGCGCTTTTGCCTCCTTCGATGGGTCGCATGCTAGGGCCGCATGCTCCGCAACACGTACGCTGTTCTGACAGGTCTCCGCCGTACTCCCGAATCCGTAGCACACAACTTTGTCGAGTCTACACCGCTTAATTCATGACCCTATGTTGTGAAAAATACATTTCCAATAGAGATGTTTTCAAAAACATTTGGTGGCTCTTTTGCGCCTCCGAGCTCTGTATCGTAAACGTCAAGGTCATTATAATGCTATCGACCAAATTCGGAGGCAATTTTTGTTTCAGGAGACTCGGCCCCTGGCCACCTCCGGGGGAAAGTGGCGATCATGCCACCCGAGCTTTGGCCCGAAAAGTATCGCCACACAACTGCGATTCTCTCAGCGTCTCGGGCACTCGGCTATTGCCCCGGCCAAGTCCGGTCTTTCGGGCCTCTGACGTCGGATCGCTCACCGGGATCGGCCATTAATGATTATACCTGACTCATAGCCACAATCTCATCTCAACTCCTCGACACCATGGACCTCGACGACCCCTGGGAGGACGATCCACACCAGCACGACCACAGCATCAGAGAGCAAGAATGGACCAAAATATCCGATTCATTCACCAACGTTTGTCTTCCCTTCCATGCACGATTGTCACAGCTGATAGCCTACGCCACCATTTCTCACCAACTATCTAGTCGGGCTATCGCGAGGGCATCATCGCGGGCAAAGAAGCTTCCCTCCAAGAAGGCTTTGACGACGGCTTTGCCTCCGTCGGTGCTCCCCTCGGCCGACAGCTGGGTCTCCTCAGAGGCACCGCGTCAGCCCTACTGTCCTACCTCTCCTCCTCCTCCCACGAGATGGATAACAACATCTCAAATGCATCATCTTCTGCGCTCGAAGAAGCACGCACCATCTCCGCCGCGCTCGCCGACATCCGCCTGTCCGATATCGCACCCCGTGACCTCGAGGCCGAAGAGCACGCCCGGGAGCACCTGCAGGACCAGATGTCCGACGAGCCCAGTTTACCGGCGATAGGCGAAATGGAGGAACGGAAGAAGATGGAGCAGCTCGAAGACATGCTCAACCAGCTGACCGCGGGGTCCGCAATTGCACCCGACCGGACCGTGCAAGACGTCGCGAAGCTTACTGAACGTCTGGATCTTCTTGCTCGCTCGATAGGCTTGAACTTTTCCGTATAACCACGGGATGCTTCAGCGTTTCAGCTACTTATAGATATGCTTTGAACTTTTGGTGAGAAGGCCGCTTCTTTGTTCCCAAGCTAAACTTACTGCGTATCTCCATATCTGCAGCTGGATTCTAGGAACGGTGCCATGCCTTTGCACGTTTTACGGCATTTGGTTCGATTCTTTAGACGTGAATGCATAGCTCGGCTGACAGAAGGAACAAACGCGTTCCGTTGGCGACATCGGAGCGCGATGTGGACTGCGATGATCTGATTATCACGGTGCTTAGGGTACTTGCAGGGTACGTTCTGGTACGATTTACAACAGTTAGCATCAGTACTAGTGTAGCAGTCACGCCTCGGTCTAGCCCGAGGCGGATGCTACTGCGTCCAGATACCCGGACGACCTCGCTGTCGTCGCTCTATGCGATCCATGACTGTTCTATGAGGTTCTATGCTTGTTATGCCATATGGTTTCCCTTGATTTCTCTGACGTACGTAGATACTGATTCCGGTCCTAGTTTCGTATATAAGACCTCTGTATCTACAGCAGTCAGACGAGCCGAACGGCCGTGTGCCGTCTTCGCTAGCCGTCACAGCCAGGATCTGTGAGATAGATCTTTAAGCTAGGGCATTCGTCATGATAGCGGATGGCTTTCCAGGCGCAGATGTCACAAGAAACCGTTGAGTTTAGCATCTTAAACTCAAAGGCTTCATGTGGTTTATTCGTTTATTGCCTCATGTACATTGACTCGTCATTACACTCACCATCAGAACGGTCTACCGCCGAAGCTACTCGGTTTACCCTCTCACGAAAGATCGACGGTGCTTCGATCCTGGTGTTATCACCAGAATGTCGTCTCCTACGCATAACATTACCAGCACCATCCGCGTGCAGAATGCCACCCAAGACGATATACCCTCCATCACGGCAATATACACCACCCAAGTGCTCGAGACCATAAACACGTACGAATACGTTCCCCCCACCGAAGAGGACATGAAAGCGCGAATGGAAACCATCCTCACCAACGGATTTCCCTACCTCGTCGCTCGGGCTCCCTCCGACGGCTCTTCATCCTCGGAGCCAGAAGCCGTGGTAGGGTACGCATACGCGAGCACGTTCCGCGCGCGCGAAGCCTACCAGTTTACTGTCGAGGGTTCCGTGTACGTGCATCCCGCGCACCAGCGGCGCGGGGCCGGTCGTGCGCTTCTCGATGGGTTGATTGCGGAATGCGAGAGGCGGGGGTTTAGAGCTATGATTGCCGTGATTGGCGATACGGGGAACGGGGCATCGATTGCGCTGCATAAGAGGTGCGGGTTCGAGGAGGTGGGGGTGATGAAGGGCGTTGCGTGGAAGATGGGCCGGTGGTTGGATACGCTTATGATGAGGAGAGGGTTGGGCCCGGTGGATTCGAGTGGGCCTGGTGATGCTTGATGCTACTCTGCCCTTAGCATATATACCTCAGTGCAATATCATACACAGAATATTTGATTCATGAATGGTGCTACAGACTTGCACGTACAAACGACCGTACGGTAATCCGACATTATAATAACCCCTAGTACTATCTGATATGTTAACCTAAGCTGCTAACTCACGAACTAGGGTTAGGTGTTATACGACACGTAGACGGCGGTCGTGTCACTGCTCACTGCCATACATCCCTTTCCACCTCCCACCATGTCCTTCATCAGGTGCGTCCAGTCCTCAGAGGATTAAGCAATACTATCTGACAATGTTACAATCAAAGGCTGGCCCTGTGCGTAGCAGGGGTCTACTCCATGTTCTTGGTGAGCACGTCCGGTTCTCCGTTCCGCTTCCCCGGACTCTATACTGACCGAATGTCATAGTTGTGGGCAATCGCACAGGAACGATGTACGTCTCCTCGCTAGCCAACGTATAACAATACTCAAAGTGCTTTCTAGTGTCGGTTCCGTTTGAGTCGATAGACGGCAAATCGAGTGACAAGTTCAAGTCTGCCCTGTTCATCGGCACCTGCCAGAGTTTCCTCAGCTGTCTGTCCGCCCTCGTCTACATCCTCATCCGCGGCAAGAAGGGCGCCTCTTTCTCGAGTCTTCTTGGTCTCGAGCTCCCCCAGCCAGCCAAGCCAGCCAATGGCTCTGCACCCAACGGCACCGCCAAACCAAACGGAACATCCAACGGGCACACCAACGGCCACAGCACACCCACCCAACCCCTCTCGCGCAACGCGCTCCTCCTGAGCTACCTCCAATGCTCCACCTTCATCACCCTCGCCGCGCCTTTTGGCTTCGCTGCGCTGTCGTACATCACCTACCCGACGATGGTCCTCGGCAAATCGTGCAAGCTCGTCCCCGTCATGCTCATGAACGTGCTCATGTATCGTCGCCGCTTCGCACCGCACAAGTACCTCGTCGTCGCGATGGTCACCGCCGGCATCACCGTCTTCATGGCCTTTGGCTCCGAAAGCCCCTCCAAGTCCTCCAAGCACGGCGCGTCCTCAACCGGAGACGCACCACCGGCGTCTGCGCAGCTCGTGGGCGCCGCGTACCTCCTCGTGAATTTGATGCTCGACGGCGCGGTGAACTCGACGCAGGACGAGATCTTTGCGCGCTATCGCGTGAGCGGGCAGCAGATGATGTTCTGGATCAACGTGTGCTGCACGCTGCTCAGCGCGTGTCTCGGCGCGCTGCCGCTGCCGTATATCCCCGTCATTCACCCGACGGTGAGCGCGAGCGGGATGTCGAGCGAGTTCGCGCAGGCGATCGCGTTTATTAGGGGCCATCCGGGTGTGGTGATGCCGCTTGTGCAGTTTGCGCTCACGGGCGCGCTGGGGCAGCTGTTTATCTTTGAGACGCTGCAGCATTTCGGGTCGCTGACGCTTGTGTACGTTGGTTTTGCTTATCGGGAATGGTCGGGGTTCTAACGCATCCGAACAGGACTATTACGTTGACGCGCAAGATGTTCACGATGATCCTCTCCGTCGTCGTTTATAGCCACAAGCTCACCTCGGGGCAGTGGCTCGGTGCGGGGATCGTGTTTGCTGGTATCTCCGTCGAGGCTTTCGTCAAGCGCAAAGGTAAAATTCAACACCTCCACCTTACTCGGTGCTAAAAGACGGTCGTTCAGATGTCCACGCGAAGCGCGTCGTCCAAGAAAAAGAAAAAGCAAAGATCAAGCAGCTGTAATGTCCCGCATACATACCCACCTAGACATATCCATATCGGTTCTCTCTCTTGTTCTACTGTAATACCGCGGTCAATCGGGAGTGCTGTTCGCAGTGGACAAAGGGTCATCCATAACGTGGTAGATTAGACACAGGCACGGCGGATGGATATCCCACTAGATTTCGGATCTTGGAGCCAAAGCGAGAACGAAGATATACGCTACATAATATAAAGCTGACAATGGGGAAAACCGCAAACACCAAATGAATCCCGCGTAAACTGTAACCTAAATGATTGGTGGCTTGCTCACTTGGTGGTGGTAGTGGTGATTAAGATGACTCAGACCAAGGAACAACACTTCTACTGTAATCCACACACAAATCCGTCCTCGTCCCTCGCTGACTCACGCACGCACGACTCCGTCGACTCTCGGGGATCGGGAACAGCTTCTAGGCATGCGCATCGAGGCCGGGTATGCGTGGGGAGCGGGCGAGAGTCGAGAGCTGAGCCGCTTGCTTGCGTCGCAGGCGTGAGCAACTATGATTCCATCGCATCGCTGCTGTCCATCATGGCGCGCTTGCGGTCGTCCGACCTAGCATGGGAGGTGTACCGTGTCAGTCGATCCGCGTCAAATGCACGCGCTGGCATTGGCCCGGGCGGCTGCGCGAAGAACTAAGGGAAGGGGGAGCGAGCGTACCTGGACTCGTCCTCGTCGTCTTCATCCTCCCGTTTTCGGCGCGACACGATGCGGTTCATTGGCTGTGCGTGCGAGTTTGCCGCGAGCGAGATGTTCGCCCTGTATATCGACTCGTATTCCTACAAATGCCACGATATATACGCAAACAGCGGCGTTGCCATCGGTTAATCAGGCCCGTAATGGAAGCCCTGGGTGGATGGGCTGGAGACGAACCTTGATCTGGGTGAGGAAGCCGCCGTTGGGGGATATGCAGTAGCGCCGGTTCTGGACGAGATGGAGCGCGTTCTCCCATGAGAGCTGGCAGTGCTGCATCACGAACATGACTACGAATGCCGGGGAGAGGGAGATGCCGCCTGGGGGATCAGGGGGTTAGAAACGCGAGGACCGTGATTTGTTACCGAAATAGAGAACAGGACGAGAAGAGGGCGAGGGCGGACGTACCGTTGCAGTGGACGAGGACCTTTCCGCCGGCTTGCATGGCACCTATGATGAACTGGTTTGCTCTGTGCGCGGTGGAGGGGCGTGTCAGATGCGAGACGTGCGCGGGAGATGTGAACTCACTGGGGGAATAGGCGGATGAGGTTCTGCTCTTCGTTGTCTTCCACGTCTAGGACGAGGTATTGGAAGTGCTCCGGGAAGCGCGGGCGGACAGAAAATGCCTCCTTTGCGTCGCGTATGCAGACACTATGGGCGTGCACACGTCCGTCAGAGCGAGAGGATCAGTGTGGCGCGCGAGGACCAGTGGTCAGCGCGAGGCGTACAAGCAGCTGGGGAACGGCGTACATGTGGGTAACACCGAGAGACTGGAGCGTCTCGAGCGACTTGGAAGCTTGGAAGGGGCCTAGGAGGAGACCTGGAAGGATCTCCTGGCACTCTCGCCGCATCTCGTATCTGCGCGGTGAGACGCGTTAGTCGCTGTTGGTATGCCACCGCGGGTGGTTGGAGGCGAGACGTGTCGACGCACCGCCATTCGACCTCTGCAGGTCCTTGGATGAGGTTGCGGATATGTTCTTCGTTGGGGAGTGTGGCCATTGTTGAATGTGGAAGTGGAAGTAGGAAAGAGAAATAAAAGGTGGGAGGTGCAATGACACGAGACAGGGACGCGACACCCACTAAAGCATTCTTCCGTTCGCTATCCGGATCTCCACCTTGCTCTCCTCCCACTGCATCTACCACATGGATTCAGACGACGAAATACCGTCCGTGTTTTATTTATCAATCAGTCTCACCAGCTCACTCTTCGCAGCACCCTCGTCACAGCAGACGTCGACGATGCTCTGGCTCTCCCGCCAGTCGTTACCTCATCGTCACCCCGGCAATCGGGCGTCCCTCTCACCATCATAAGCGGCTTTTTGGGCGCGGGCAAATCGACCCTGCTCCGGTACGGCGTTTTGTTATTCTGAAACCCGACAATGAGTCACTTATGCTGCGCGTTCCCAGACGCATATTGACCGAGCGCCATGGGTACCGCATAGCCGTCATCATGAACGAGTTTGGCGACACGGCGGTGAGTACGCGTGAACATTCTTCTGTCCACACGTTAGATCTCAAGTCGCCTCAGTAGAATATTGAAGGTATCGCCAATTTACATGGGCTGGCGTCTACTCTAACGCGCGCTGATCCGTGCCCGTTACAGCAAAGGCGATCAACGTCTCATCAGCAGATGATCCTACTGCAGAAAAGTCTGAAGAGTTTCTCGAGCTTGCAAACGGCTGTCTCTGTTGCAGCATCAAGGATGCCGGAGTAGCTGCGATCGAGAAACTCATGGAGCGCAAGGGCGCGTTCGACCACATCTTATTGGAGACAACCGGATTAGCGGATCCAGGTAGGCTCGACCTGCTTATGACGTCATGTCGAGTATCTTGACGAGTTGCTTTAGGTCCTATTGCTGCCATGTTTTGGAAGAACGAAGAGTATGGGTCTGGACTTGGTCATGATATCCTGCTAGATGGCGTCGTTATTGTCGTGGATGCAGTATATGGGAAACAGGCAAGTGCGCGTATCCACGTCTCGAGGATTAACCACCTGATTTCGTATAGCAAATGGAAGAAGACAACTCTGTGGATGGAATTGGCGAGAGCATACGGTCAGGCATAGTTGCACGTTCCTAACACAGCAGCTCGCTGATCTTTACGCAGACAAATCGCATGTGCAGACGTAATTATTCTCAACAAGGTAGATCTCGTCTCGAAAGAACAGCTGCATGAACTAGAAGGCCTCATCCGGACCGTCAATGCGTCAGCCCCGATACATCGGACAGTCCGAGCGGAACTAGACTTGAAGCATATCATGAACATCGGCGCATTCAACACGGCACGTCCCATAGACCAAGCCATCCAGCCTGTATCATCACACGACCACGATCATGACCATGAACGCAATGGAGACGATCACCAACACGATACACCTCCGACACACTACGAACTTCGGGGCATATCAAGTCTACGGGTATCCGTGCCTGTCCTCTCAGCGGAGCGGCTGGACAGGTTAGACGAGTGGATACGGACGCTTCTTTGGGAGAACCGACTCCCAGAAAAAGGAGATGGGTCGGATGGGCAGTCGAGCATGAAAGTCTTGCGATGCAAAGGGTTGTTTGTGACGGAGAAGGGGGAGCAGTACGTGCTTCAAGGCGTTCAGAGCTTGTACGACCTGTCCCCAGTGGAGGGTACAGAAACGACAGGGGTGCCAGATGTGGGGAAGCTTGTGTTGATTGGGAAGGGTCTAACGGAGGAGGTGCGGAATAGCGTGGAGAAGATACTAGCCCTGTAAACATAATATTAATGTTACATGAGTCGAAGCAAGTCAAGTTTATATCAGAGCGCGTTGAGTCCGCGACGACCGGGATCTCGGTGCCGAGCCACGTGGAGATAGATAAATGTCATCGTCTGTGTTTCTCATCTCCAAATTCTGCAACTTTCATAATGTCGCTGAACAACGCAACAGAGGCCCCAGATCCAGAAAATGTCCGCATCATAACAACACTCGGACACGTCGACCATGGCAAGACAACGCTTATGGACACTCTGCTCGCTGCCAACAACATCATCTCCTCTCGCATGGCTGGCAAGTTGCGCTACTTGGACAGCAGAGAGGATGAACAGGAGCGCGGCATCACGATGGAGAGCAGTGCGGTGTCGCTTAAATTTCATGTAGGCGAGCGTAACCCTGCCGAAGGTACGCCAGTCGCTCGCTGCAAAAACCATCCCATGACAGACAAGTCTAGGAAGATCTCCAAAGACATACATCATCAATATGATCGACACACCCGGTCACGTCGACTTTTCTAGTGAGGTTTCCACCTCCTCTCGTCTCTGTGATGGCGCACTTGTCCTTGTCGACGTCGTCGAGGGCGTCTGTACGCAGGTATGTTAATGTGCCTTCCGTAATCTACCCTCTCAGAATGTTCTAACCGACACAGACCATCACAGTCCTCCGCCAGGCATGGCAAGACAATCTCCGCCCTATCCTTATTCTCAACAAATCCGATCGTCTTATCACCGAGCTCAAGCTCGCTCCTATAGAGGCCTACCACCACCTTTCCCGCCTCATCGAGCAGGTCAACGCCGTCATGGGCTCCTTCTTCGCCGGCGAGCGCATGGCCGACGATCAGCGCTGGCATGAGGAGCGCGAGCGCCGTCTCGCAGCCAAAAAGGATGCGCTCGCCGACGCAGGTGAGGCCGCGGCTGACGCTAACCTGGGCGGCTCGGAGAGCGCAGACGACGCGTTCCAGGAAAAGGACGACGAGGACATCTACTTTGCCCCCGAGCGCGGCAACGTCGTGTTTGCGTCTGCTCTCGATGGCTGGGGCTTCCGCGTCGGCAAGTTCGCGCAGCTCTACTCGGCCAAGCTCGGTTTCAAGGAGGCGACGCTTCGCCGTGTGCTGTGGGGAGATTTTTATCTGGATCCGAAGACGAAGCGTGTTGTTAGCTATAAGCATCTTAGAGGACGCGCACTCAAGCCGCTTTTCGTGCAATTTGTGCTCGAGAATTTGTGGGCTGTGTATGATGCCGTGATTATGAACCCGTATGTCACGTTCTCTTCTCTCTCTTACATGACATATCTCATACCATCTCATACCAGAAATCCGGACAAAGTATCTAAAATCGTCTCCACCCTCAACCTCAAAATCTTGCCCCGCGATCTGCGTTCCAAAGACGGGCGCTCGCTCCTCTCCCTCATCCTCTCGCAGTGGCTCTCCCTCTCGACGTGCATCATCCAGGCCGCGATCGACGTCGTGCCATCCCCGCCTGCCGCACAGGCCGTGCGCGTGCCCAAGATGCTCCACCCGGACTCGTACGAGTTGTCGATCAAGCCGAGGAACAAGCTCGAGGCGGACCTGTACGCGTCGAATTCGGCGCCGGAGGCGGCGGTCGTCGCGTATGTGAGCCGGATGTTTGTTGTGGAGGCGAAGGATCTGCCGGAGAATAAGAAGAAGCCGCTTACGGCGGAGGAGCTGCGCGCTAAGGGACGGCAGGCGCGCGAAGCGGCGGCGGCGGCGGCGGCTGAGGAGGCGCCTGTGCTTGCAGCTGAAGCGTCTGATGCGCCGCCGGCTGAGGCCACCACCGGTGCTGCTACAGAGACAGAGAACGGCGCGAGCGCTGAGACCGCGACGAATGAAGATACGGACGGCGCAGCAGCAGCGACACCCGACGGCCTTCTCCAAGCCTCCGACATCCTCATTGGCTTCGCGCGCCTCTACTCGGGCACGCTCGAGGTAGGCGCGACGGTGCACTGCTGCCTGCCCAAGTACAACGCCGCGCTGCCGCGCGACCACCCGGCGAACGTGGAGCACATCACGCGCGCGACGGTCGAGGGGCTGTACACGATGATGGGCAAGGAGCTCATCCCTGTGCAGCGCGTGCGCGCGGGGAACACGTTTGCGGTCAAGGGGCTTATGGGCAAGGTGTGGAGGAATGCGACGCTGTGTGCGCCTGGTGCGGCGGGGGTGGGTGCCACGGGAGGGGAAGAGGCGGAGGATTATTTGATTAATTTGGGTGGGGCTAATCGGCTGGTGGGTTGTGGCGTGCTTCTGGCTTTGTCGTACGGGATGTGCTGATGTGGTTCGTGTTTGTAGGCTTCGTCGATCGTGAGGATCGCGGTTGAGCCGGTGGTTCCGGCGGATATGTCCAAGCTTGTGGCGGGGTTGAAGTTACTTGCGCAGGCGGATCCTTGTCTGGAGACGTTCCAGCAGCAGACTGGAGAGCATGTCATTGTCGGTGCCGGAGAACTGCATCTCGAGGTGAGTGTCATGCATAGTAGCGAACGCCGTACTTTGTACTGATGAAGTGCTACAGCGCTGCCTCCGAGATCTGAGAGATCGCTTCGCTCGCGTCGAAATCCAGGCGTCCAAGCCTATCGTGCCGTTCCGAGAAACTGCGGTGAAAGCACCAGGTTCGTGTTGCACTCGGTATCTGCGCTATAGTACCTAAAGTGATATACGTATACAGATATGGCACCTCCAAAGACACCCGGCGCACCTCGCGGTACCATCCGCGGCGCCGCCTCCCAGAACCTGGTTTCGTTTACCATCCGCGCTGCGCCACTGCCACAAGTCATACTTGATTTCATCCTGCAAAATCTGACGACACTCAGGCAGCTCCAGCAGCAGAGCAAGTCGGACGGAAAGCCTGACGGCGAAACGGAACATGAGCCCGACGTTGATGCTCCTTCAGTAGAAGCTGCCGAAGTGAAAGCCCAGGGACTTGCGGGGGATGTGCTGTTCACGCCCAGCGTGAAACCGGCCCAGTTCTGGTCCGCTCTGGAGGAGAAATGCAAGGCAGCAGGGGGCGAATGGAGTGACGTCGCCAAGCGAATCTGGGCATTCGGTCCTCAGGGTGCAGGGGGCTGCATCCTCGTCGACGCACGCAAAGAGGGCGCGCCGTTATCGTGAGTAGACTTTGTCCGTCCGCTCGCTGCGAGGCTTCTTGATCTCACACTAGGAATAGTTTGCAGACGCGGTTGCAGCGGGGCAAGAACTCGGGCCCGACTTCGAACGGTGCTGACTCCCAGGACGCGGCTTCGAGTTCGAGCAGTTTCGACTTTAGCAACCATATCGAGACGGGCTTCCAGCTCGCCACGTTCCAGGGTCCCTTGTGCGCCGAGCCCGTCGAGGGCATGGCTTATTTCGTCGAGAGCGTCGTCGAGGACGACGAAGGTGTGCAAAAAGAAATCCGTGCGTCTCCATCATCATTTATCATCGTCTATATCCATCCCCTGCAACGAACAATAGGACGGGCAAGCGCTGATTGACGTTTTTGTTCCTTTACTTTGCAGTTCAAAATAGACTAAGCCAGGTGACGGGCTCCGTCATCTCGGCCGTGAGAGATGCGTGCCGGAATGGGCTGCTGGACTGGTCCCCGAGGCTGATGCTCGCGATGTACTCGTGCGATATCCAGGCGTCGAGTGCGTCATCTTTGATTTGAACCTAGACCGTTCTGACCCCATTTTGCGTGTTGTTTGTTTGATTGTGGAACGTGCAGCGGACGTGCTTGGGAAAGTGTACAGTGTCGTTGCGAAGCGGCGGGGCCGGATCGTGGCGGAGGAGATCAAGGAGGGGACATCGTTCTTCACCGTGTCGGCACTGCTGCCTGTCGTGGAGTCTTTCGGATTTGCGCTGGGTATGTTCGCCTCGCTTGCGCTTTGCATATATTTTGCGAGGGCTTCTCGTGGCCCGTGGTTGTGATTCGTGATCTTTAATCATCCTTCATCCATGGTGGTTCTCACGTCGTCGATTGCGTTGACAGATATCCGGAAGCGAACGTCGGGCGCTGCGAGTCCGCAACTGATCTTTAGCGGGTGAGTGAACACGCGCCAACGTGGTCTGGCCAGCGCTTATGAACGTGGATGTGATTTTTAGATACGAGATGTTGGATCAGGATCCGTTCTGGGTTCCGACGACGGAGGAGGAGCTGGAGGATCATGGGGAGAAGGCGGACCGGTCGAACGTGGCCAAGGCGTACATGGATGGTGTGCGGGAGCGCAAGGGGATGTTTGTCGACCGCAAGATTGTCGAGTTTGCGGAGAAGCAGAGGACGCTGAAGCGGTGATAATATTAATCATAATCACTTAGAATTTGTAAATGGCAGCTGTAGCGGAGCGGATTTTTTTTCTGTTGTGGACGGAAAGTGATGAGGTGTGGATTATGTAATATGTCTGTGAGTGCGGAGAGTTTCCTGTTTCTGTTCCCTCCTTCCTTGCTGGGTCCCTGGCCTTGTTCTCCTCCTCCCCCTCCTCCCCTCCTCCCCTCTCGTCTTTTATACGCTCCTATGGCCGCCGTAGGCCTTGTATCCTATGGCGGCGCACACCAGACATACACCATGACGGAAGATTCCCAGTTCACCACCCAGGACGACCAAGAACAGTACATCAACACTTTCTTCTGCCGCGCCGTCTACGACTACCAGACGAACGACTCCTCCTCCCTCTCCTTCCATCGCGACGATATCATAGAGGTCCTCACGAAGCTCGACTCGGGATGGTGGGACGGGTTGCTCGGCGAGGAGCGCGGCTGGTTCCCCTCCAACTACGTTGACGTTCTGTCGGACGAAGAGGCAGAGATTGCGCTCGCCCAGATCGAGGAGTTGCACCAGCAGAACCACCAGCAGCAGCAGGTGCAGATGCAGCCACAGCAGCAGGCCCAGCAGCAGGCTCTTCAACAGCAACAGCAACACGCCCAACAGTTACACCCGCAACAGCAGCAGGCACACCAAGCGGTCGCGGATGCAGCATTGGGCGGGGTTAACGGTGCGGAGTACATTCCCTCGGGTCAGCATTGGATGGTGGACGACCCCAGTCTCAACAACGTCTCCCTCAACGATGTCATCACCAACGTACCAACGAGCGCCGCCACTGGGCAGACCCAGTCGAGTGACTTTTGGTTGCCTGAGGTCACTCCGGATGGTCAGGTGAGTACTACGCTTGTTCTCGGCTCACACTGTAAATGACTCAACTTTTGCCTATTCATTTACGCTCTCGCTGCTTCTCGACCTCGACCCTCGAATGAAATGAAAATAAACAAAAAAGATATTCTACGTCAACACCATAACAGGAGAGCGGTCCCGCGACCTGCCCATGGAAGCCGACGACTCCCCGAACGGCGATCTCGCCGGCCTTACTGCCTCGCAACCTGGCAGCTCGAGGGCCGGATCAGGTGCAAACCTCGGCTTCGGCGCAGGTTCCGCTCCTGCGACTGAGAGCGCGCACGCCGGCTTCGGTGTCCCCAGACGCTCGGGCACCCCAGAGCCTTGGATCCGGCGGCTGGCGGACGATGGCATGTCGTACTACTATCAGAACCAGCTCACAGGCGAGCAAGCCTGGGTCCTGCCCGAGTCAGCCACCCCCACCCGGGCAGGGCAGGAAGTGCACGGTCGCGCGCGAGCTATGACTAACACGTCGGTCGCCTCCTCGGCGGTGTACGCCAGCACGAGTGCCAGTGCATCGCAGAGCCGGCTACGCGCAGATTCCCTCGCATCTCAGTCTCAATCTCAGGGCAGCAGCGCTGGCATGCGCGATCGAAGTCGAAGCGTCTCAGAAAGGGTCAGCGACTCCGAGGACTCGAACATGTATTCTCCTGCTCAGGGCCACTCGCCCCAGCCACTCTCGGCTGTAACAGCAGATGCACGCGTCCAGGCCGAGGATCTCGGAGTCGAGCTCACCGTCGCAGAGAAGATAGCCCAGTCCCTCCAGCAGTCTCTCCAGCCCCCTCCACCCGAACTTATCTCTGAGCTCTCGCACCGCGCACAGAACTCTATCAATGAAGTCATTTCCACAAACCAGCAGCTCTCTACCTTGCCGCGCAGGTCCGAGGCGCGCCATATTCTTGATGCACTCGTCGAGGCCGTGGTCGTTGCTGTCATGAACCTCCTTTACATCTCCGCACCCCCTTCTGGTCATATCCCCTCTAACGTCTTGCCCCGCGAGGCGCGCCATCGCCGCGATACCACCGCCCAGCAGACCCTTCTCAAGCCAGCACAGCGCAAGGTGACGGCCACGCTATCCAAGCTCGTGCTTTCCGCCCGGGCCATGGAGTACGACTCGGGGCCAGCTTCTCACGAGACACCTAGTCGCATCGAGAGTGATGCGGAAGAGCTTCACCGATCGATCATCGCATTTGTGGTTGAGGTGCAGCGGCAGAACCAACAACCCACCGGTGTGAGTGTGAAGCGGATACAGGGCAATTTCCTTCCGGTGCACATGGGGCTGGGGTTGTACGGTGGAGGTGCTGCAGGCTCGTGGAAGGGCTTCGGGTGGGTGCCACTGGACGAAGCAGACGATCTACCCGAGCGCGTCCTTGATAAAGAGGCACTGATAGACTTGCGCACCAAGACGGTCATGTTTGACAGAAAGTCAGAAGTTTTGCGAAACAGGCTAAGGGGCAACCCAGCAGGTAACGCCCTTGCGTCCATTTTCCTTCCCACCGTTCTCATTCTCTGCTTGTAGAAGTGCTTCTGCACGCCGCCAGCCAAGAAGTTCTGGCTGTCCTTTCAGACGTGCTCCATCTCGTGGCAGATCTGCACATCGCTCGGCACGTAGACATCGACGGCATCTATGCGCAGTCAACGCAGGAAGCTACGGCCCGCTACACTCAGTCGGTCGACTCTGCCAGAGTACTCGTGCGGACACTCGAATCGATAGCACAGAACTTGTATGACGACTGCTCCGCGCTTTTCTCGGCAACCCAACACATTCGGCGTCCGGTCCCAGGTGATTTTAGGGAAATAGAAGAACGGCGGGAGTACTTTGGCGCCGTGCTTACCTCTCTCCGTGGCAACCTCGGCTCCCTGTACGACACCCTCGATGCCCTCTGGGGCGTCGGGAACGAACAGGCCGACATGTCTGATGTCAACCACACGGGCGCGATCGAATGGCGCATGTCCCGGCTCAGCATCTTTGACAGCAACTTCGACGTGCGCCGGATGTCAACTACGGTGCCGCACGATCCCGAGACAGAAGACCTCGTCGACATGGAACTGGCCTTCGGGAGAAGCAACCGGCGGCCTCTGAATGCGATTACGAATGCGACCGCCGACCGTATGTCGACGTACCGTAGTCCGTCCCAGCTGTCCGACAACACCATTACGTTCCCCCACGAGAAGACGGGCAGCATGTCCAAGGCGCCCGGCTGGGCCGACGAGAGCACATCGCACACACTCGTGCACGGCGAAGACCAGGCGACGCTCAACGGCGGTGGTGGCGATGCAGACTCAGTGTTCAGCGATGAGGGTACCAGTTCACGCCCACAGCGGACAGGGAAGAGTGACAAGCTTGCCAAGATCTTTGGTGATGCACCGCCTGAGCATATCGTGCCGACCAAGCCATGGTACCTGCGGCCAGACTATGGCAAGGACCAGATTGTCATTGACCCTGATGGGAGTGTTAAGGCTGGCACTGTCTCTGCTTTGGTGGAGCGTTTGACGACCCACGAGACTCGGGGTGCGTGTATGATTCTGCAATTTGAGCAACCGTCCAAGCTCACATTTTTTTCTGGGACAGATACAACCTTCATGAAGACGTTCTTGATGACGTTCAGATCGTTCACCACTCTTGACGAAGTGTTTGACTTTCTTGTCCAGCGATTCTACATCAAGCCTCCTTCAAACTTGAAGCAGGAGGAGCTTGAGGAATGGCAGAAGCAGAAGCAGCAGATCATCCAGATGCGGTATGTTGCTAGGTCCAAAAAAAAATCTGGAATTGTACTCATGTCTGTTTCAGTGTCTTGAATACTATCAAGTCCATGGTGCAGGACGACGTACTGGAGAAGGACGAGATGTATATCCTTGACCGCATCCGAGAGTTCCTGTCTGATGAGGAAGCGCAAAAAATCACTGCGAGCAAGACACTGCTTCTTGCCATCGACCGTGCTGTACGTCATCCTCTCGGTCTCACTGGCTATCATGCTGATTACCCGCGGATCATGTTATTAGGTTGGTGGAGAGAAGAAAATGACAATCAACACTGCCCTATCGCCACCGGCACCGATTGTCCCGAAGTCAAAGAAGCTTAAGCTGCTCGACATTGACGCGCTCGAGCTCGCGCGACAGCTGACGGTCCTTGAGAGCCACCTATACCTCAAGATCAAGCCGATGGAATGTTTGGTCCGGTCTCGTGAGCAGAAGACGGATCATAACGACAACATCGCAAAGGTTATCCAGACTAGCAACCGAGTACGTCTAGAGTATTTTGGCTACTGCTTCCGGAATTAATGTGTACTACCTGTAGATTGCAAACTGGGTTGCTGACGCTGTGCTCTATCACGAAGACTCGCGAAAGCGCGCAGCCGTACTCAAGCATTTCATTAGTGTCGCTGACGTAGGCCTTTCCGTCTGATCGCTTCGTTTCGATTTCTAATATATTATTTCTTTGTTAGCGTTGTCGAACCATGCACAACTATTCGTCCATGGTTGCGATCATTTCAGGCCTCAACTCGCCACCTATACGACGTCTCAAGCGATCTTGGGAGCAAGTCAATGCTCGGCACATGTCGCAGCTCTCGACTTGCGAGTCAACCATCGACTCGGGCAAGAACTTCAACAATTACCGTATGACCCTTGCGAAAGTCGCGCCACCTTGCGTTCCGTTCATTGGTAACATATTCCGTTTATCATGGCATGAGGTTGGAGAAGCTAAACAATATTCTAGGTGTGTTCCTTACCACGCTGACGTTCATTCAAGATGGCAGCAAGGACATCCTTCCTGGCGACCTCGTCAACTTCCGCAAACGCCAGAAGGCGTCTGAAGTCATCCAGGACATCCAGCGCTGGCAGTCCATCGCGCACAACTTCCAGGCTCTCTCTGTTGTGCAGAACTACGTCGAGGAAGCACTGTTCAAGTTCCCTGATGGTTCTGACCTCGGCGACCACTTTTGGAATCTCAGTCTCGAGCGCGAACCTAGGGAACGCGAGGACGAGAAGATGGCGCGGCTGTTGCAGGAGAGCGGATTTTTATAGTAAACGGATTTTTTTTGGGACACTATTGCATCATCGCATGGTTTTTGACTGTACCTCATCTGCTTTTTATCTGGCCTCTTTTTTTATCGTCTGTACATATTATACGAACCCTGGATCTTATTGTGATGTTTTTTGTTTTCCTTTTCAAGGATCTGGATTTACGAGATTGACTAAAGGGATTTAAGACGTCCTGGATCTTCGAGGTCCCTACGAACAACAAAGCTGGGCTGCGAGACGCGTCGCGACGCGTCGCACTCAACTCGTGGCATGCGTAACATCGTGTGAAAGTCATCGCTCTACCCCTTGGTTCATTACAATCACCCGGATCCGTCTTGCTAGCAAGATGTCCTCCACAGACCAATCATTCTTTGATAAGGAGCGGGACAGACTGACCGCTGAAATCGCTTCGGTTTCCAGCTCTCCTCTGCGTGTTGTCGCTGGTAGCTGATACGTGATATCAGGGGTTCGAAGAAATGCTATCTTCGAGCAATGTGCTCAATCGCAAACTCGAGGAAGTTCTCGGCATGACAAGAGAATACGAAACCATAGCGTCTCTTTGGCAGACATTTCATGAACTCATGCGGGGTCAGAAGGTGGAAGCGGAGCAGGACAGGATGGTGGGCCTACCGGGTACGGGTTCACACCACGTATCGCAACCAAAGCCGCAGACCTAGAATTGGTGAATGGTAAGAGAGGATCGCCTTTGACGTATTGAGAAGCCATACCACAACCAACCCGGTTTATTTCAGCTATACCATGTGCTCGCATGTTCGGCGCGTAATTCTGGGACAGGACAAGGCGTCCCTGTCAATGCTACTCGCCCTCACGCGCCTCCCTGTTTGGTGAAGCAACAGACAACACAGTACAATAGCAGACGCAGCACGTAGAGTAGCACATGGTGGAGAATTCTTCGGTCATGAACGACTACAGGAGCAAACACAAACCAACGATGCAACACCTCTCAAGATCTCACCTGCCGTGACAATAGTACCACATCGGCTCTTGCGTCTCCGGCAACCCCAGTTCACTCCTGATAAACTCAATAAACCGCGTCTCTGTCTCCCCATCCAGGTTCCAACCAGGACTGTAATGATTGTCGTAGATGGAGATACAGGGCTTGGTCCCGTCGGGCGTCTCAACTGGAGGAATCCGGATTCTCGGGTGTTCGGGGTCAAGTTCCAGATGCCTTTTCGCAGCACCAACACGGATGGTATCCATCCAGGTGTGATCGATGGTCTCGAAACTCTCGCGGGTGAATTTGCCCTGGTACCAGCGCAGGGCATAGTCAGTCAAGATGTCTTTGGAGACAATAAAGCCATAGAATGCTCTGCGCGGTGGCTTATTCGGGGGGGAGTTAACGATGCTTAATTCAGGGGGTAATTGAGGGGCAGGAAGTAGCTGAATATTGTTGGTTAATCCAGTGTTCGTCCTCGGCTTAGATTGAAGCAAAGCCTACCTCCCCGTTAGAAAGTTCTGAAGAGACCTGAAATTCCCTGAGTTTTTCGTTGATGTCATCGAGATCACCTGCAGAGACGGCGCATTGATAGAGGTCGGTGTCCATGGTGCGCAAGGTTAAAGTGCCAGATTATGTACTGAGTAATTTTACAGTTGCGAGCGGCCGTTTGAAGTTGAAACTGATTGAAAACAACGCTCAGTAGATGGTCAGGTCAAGGGTTGGGTTCCCACGCGACACGCCTATAGAGTACGCGACGCGACGCGTTGTTTCCCCACTATCCTCGTGAAACCCTCTTTGTTTCGTTTGATTGTGTACCGTAATACACTAGGTGAAATGATTTGAGGTAAAGAACGTAGGATGCTTCTTGATTCTGGATCGCTCTCTATGAGTGACCATAAGAGATGGTAGGGCCCACGAATCATACACGGCCAACTTGAACTTAATATCCGAAGCTTGTTTGACCAGCGGATTAAAACCACATGTACACCTAGGTTCACACCGGAGCACGCGACGCGACGCGACGCGTCTTAGGATTCACGCGCCATACTCATACAGCCTTTGATCATTGCCTTGGCAGAAGAATTGACTTGGATTGCACTCGATAATACAAATGTGATTAATTCAAAGTCGCAGCTAGACGGATAAACCATACCACCACACCTAGGCTCACCGGCAGTTGGAAAAATACCACATCGGCTCCTGCGTCTCTGGTAACCTGAGCTCGCTCCTGATAAACTCAATCTGCTTTCTCTCCTTCTCTGCATCCAGAGTCCAGCCGCTCCCTAAATGGCTGTCGTATATGGCAATACATGGCCTCAGTCCATCGGGTGTCTGGACAAGAGGAAACTCTAGCCTTGGGTCCTCTGGGTTGAGTTCCAGGTGTTCTTCAGCAGCCCCCACGCAGATGACTTCGACGTCGGACAGATCGGCACGGTCGAAATCCTCACGGGTGAACCTGCCCTGGTGCCAGCGGAGGGCGTGGTCGACCATGACGTCCGAGGTAACAGCAAAGCCATAGTGTGCTTTGCGCGGCCGCCTAATATTATAGAGATGAGCTTTGGCGGGGTTCAATTGAGGAGGTAAATCAGGAGCGGGCAGCAGCTGCATACGGCCAGTTAGTCAATGTCATGCTGAGAGTTGCGCTATGGCTAAAAGCGAGACCTACCGGCTTTCTCTTGGGCTTTATACCCTTGTTAGAACGTTCGGACGAGATCTTAACCTCGTTGAGTCTTTTACTGAGCTCCTTTGGAGAGACGCCTTGGCCGCTATTACTATTCATGACGTGAGTGGGTGAAGTGACGTCGGCACAGAGAGTTTCGTAGCCTGTTATATATGCGGAATTCAAACTCCGCTACTCCAAATGCGGCAGATGAGGTTACAAGAGTTGTGGAGTACGCACGTCGTACTAAGTCTGCTTTACTCTTCGTGTGTTGCGACCCCATGAGACACCGATTGCATTCAGCTGGTGGGTCGCACACTTATTGTGTGCATGTTCGCTGATTAGAGCCGGTAACCATCAAGACAAGGAAATCTCCTCTGATTCGTTAGGCTTGACAAGGACTCGGGTTGGGTACTGTCGAAGCGAAAGACAATAACTGGTCTTTGTCCCCCCACTCCCATGACCTTACCTTACCCTGCCAATTGGTTCAACGGACCATTGTTTCATGACGTATGTGTTTTCCTCTTTTATTGTACAAATTTTGATTGTTCAAAGCTTACTATAGTGACCGCCCTCTTCCCCACCTTGTTATTGTTCACAAAGCGACAATACGTGGTGTCTAGCCTATTGTTCTAGCTGTGGCCGCTGTGAAAAAAGGTTCAACAGGACAATAGAAGGCGATAGATGATAATACAAAGTCACTTCACATGCGGCGTGATGATGAAGGACAATTAGCAGACGCTTTCGCGCACGAATAACAGGAAGCTCTTTCCCGTCGTGTCGGACGCTTGTGTAAAGACGTTAAAAGGCTTGTAAAAGGTGCAACTACGGGGCCTACCCCAAGGTGGCTCCTGAGTCCCTGCACCTCTTCGCCATCGTTTCTACCAGACTTAGGTGCCCAATATCAATGCAGGCCACCGAAAGCAGTGTACAGCCCGGAACTGATGCCACCGGAAGCAGTGTACAGCCTAAAGTAACTATCATTCGCTTCGATTTTATGCGTATGATCACAATCTGATTGTAAGCTTTCAGATATGGTGTCGCTCCTCGCTCAATTACCGTTGTTCTTTATACCAACAAGCTCAACGGAGATATTGGGTGGAGGGGTCTTTGTACACTTTCCTCGGCGAGATCTTTTTCCCCCTTTGCAAGCAGATGCCCCTCAGTGGCAATGGTTCTTGTATGCTCGGTGCCTTTCAGGACCCCGTGACAGCAAACGATGTGCCACCTCCTCCCAGGAAAGCTAAGAAGTTGAACCCAGAGGTCGCGAACGTCTCGGAGGACATGGAGAATGCAGAGGACGTAGAGGATGTGGAGGATGCAGAGGATGCAGAGGATGCAGAGGATGCAGAGGATGCAGAGGATGCGGAGGACGCGGAGGACGCAGAGGATGCGGAGGGCGTGGAGGTTCTGGAGGCCCTGGAGCTCCCGGAGAGCAGTCTAATCCCAGACCCATCTAAGAGACAGGGAAAACTTAGTGTCAGTATCCCAGACTTTTGCTTCTATCTTTCTCGGGAGGAAGAAGACTCAACAGCTCTTGGGGGAGAGACTTGGGAAGAGATGGGCTACTATGTAGAGTCGAAGCGACTCTGCGTCCCGGACTGGACCGCTGCGGGTGTCGGGCAAGAGTTTGTTTACGAGGTCAAAAAGGCCATTCCTCAGCTTGACAAGCAAGCTAAACTCATGTTTGACCGGTACCCATCGGCCAAGTTTATGTTTGCGTTTCTCACCATTGGGCCGAAGTTCAATCTGCTTCAATACACCTCTCGCCCCTTGGCCTCGGTTTCAAACAGAACGAACGAGCATGGACTCAAACCGCCCCAGGTTGTGATCTGGAACACTTTCATTTTTGAAGACTTGACGCTCAAAACACTCAACCCGCTATTCTTGTATGCCATCGATCTAATCACGCTTGAGTTGGGCCTCGACCCCGCACTTGATCTCATTCCGCCGCAGCTTACTGATATACAAGAGGGAGCCCGGGTATGCATTCCTGTGCTTATTTGTGAACAGATACTAACACAGACCCTCTATCAACAGAGGACGGGGCAGGACACTGTCAACAAAGCCTCCAACTCGAATGTACAACTCCGGAATCAGGTCAATCACAACATGGAGTGCGCGCTGCCAGACGATCCCCTGCCAAAGACCAGGGCTGCAAAAGAAGAAGCCAAGGCCTACTCAGGGACAAAGGTCAAGGGTATGTTGTTATATCGTACGTTTGCATAGTTTAGAGTACGCCGAGGTAGTATTCCTTCCGATAGCTTATGTAAGCGGGCGTCTCGTCAACGCACGTCGCCGCCGTAGTCTTTTCCCTCAGTCTTCGTGTTCGACACTCGGGACTGAGGTATGTTACCACATTCGTTATTTCCATATCATAGCTAACTGTAGTTTAGTTTATTCTTATCTTATTCAGGTTAGCTACAACAATACAGTCTTCGTGTTCGACACTCGGGACTGAGTTTATTCTTATCTTATTCAGTCAGTCAACTCACCACCCGCTCGTAACCTGACAAAAGGTTATGAGCCCCGCCGCTCATTACAAGACCCATTCGCTTTTTTCGATCTCTTCGATAATCATCTCCAACCATGGTCGGCAGCCCTACGTCCGCCTCAGCCCACCTCCTGGCTGCATCAGCCTCTAATCCGGCGCCATCGATATCGCAAGCCGGCGGATCCGCCCAGGCGGCCCCGGTTTCGTTTTCGAGTACAACCTCATCATCCAGTCGTCCGACCCACGCATCCAGCCGCCTATACGACATAGAGCAGCTCAAGAACAATGGCAGTAACTTCCGGCCCTGGAAGCACCGCATCGAGACGGTCCTCAAGCTTCGAAAGCTCTACGGGATCGTCAAGGGCGACGAGAAGAGGCCGCCGGACTCGCTTCCGCAGTCTGTGGAGGAGTGGATCACCCGAGATGAGGAAGCGCGAGCGCAGATCATGCTCACACTCGCCGACGAGCCGCTCAACAGTGTCTTGCTTGAAGAGACGTCCTACGGCGTTTTCAAGACCCTGTGCGACCGCCACGAGGGATCAGGTCAGCAGACCATCGCACAGCTCATCGGCGAGCTGTTCCGCAGCACGCTCGCGGAGGATTCACCCATGCAGGCCCAGCTCACGGAGATGAGAGCGAAGGCGCAGCATATCCGCAACCTCGGCCAGGCCCTCGACGATTCGCTCGTCGCGGTGGCCATGCTCATTTCCCTCCCCGCTTCCTATTCGACACTCCGCACCATCCTCATGGCACGGGACGAGAAGCTCACAACGACGTCAGTTGCCTCGCAAGTCCTCATCGAGGAGAAGTCGCGCGCAACAACGCAGCAAGCGCTTGCGGCGACAACTGCTCCTCAACCATCGAAGGGTGCCGGCAAGCCGAAGAGGGACAAGAGGGCAGAGAAGTGTAACTACTGCAAGAAGAAGGGACACTACGAGCGCGAATGCAAGAAGAAGAAGGCCGACGAGGAGTCGAAGGAGAAAGGCGGCAAGTCCACGTCGCCAGGTGACGGGTCGTCACACGAGAAGGACAAGTCGAGGGAACATAGTGCCCGACTCGCGCACGCCGAGCACGACGCCGACGCCGAACCGCTTCAGCTCTTCATGGCAGAGCTTCGGGCGGGGTCTGCCCTTGGTTCGTCGCCCGGCAACCCCTCGGGCAAGTGGATTGTCAATTCCGGTGCGTCGTTGCACATGTCGTGCAGACGCGACTGGTTCTCGACGTTCGGCGCCCTCGTGGCACCGCAGCGCATCGTCATCGGCGACGGTCGTGCGATTGAAGCAACGGGCATTGGCCGGGTTGAGCTCAACGTCCATTTTAACTCGACTACACGCCGAACTATCCTGCGCGATGTCTTCTATGTCCCCATGCTCAATGCCAACCTTTTCTCTGTTCCGCAAATTGTTCGCCACGGCCTTGATGTCACGTTTGACAGCGGCCTGTGCAGCATTCGCGACCGAGGCGCACTCGTCGCTGCTGCACACCGCGAGCAGTCCCTCTACATTCTACGCAGTTCACCCATCACATCCGAAGCAGCCTATTTCATTGCCCCCCACATCTCCGACTCTGACGCTGAGGCTCACTATGCTGCCAGCGCTGTTCAGCCACCAGCATCACGTGCAGATCTCGACACCTGGCATTGTCGGCTCGCCCACATCAACTACGATTGGGTTCTCCGCCTTTACAAGAAGCAGATGGTGGAGGGCATGGAGATCTCAAACCCGGGTGAAGCACATGAGACACCATGCAAGCCATGCCTAGCTGGCAAGCAGCACCGGAATGTGATCTCGAAGGAGTCTCAAGTCACCGAGCACCGAGTCCTCGGGCGCACTTACTCCGACCTCTGTGGACCAATGCGAACAGCCACGCGTCACGGACACAAGTACTTCATCACCTTCATTGATGGGTACTCACACCATGTCACTGTCAAGCTTCTCAAATCAAAGGATGAGGCCCTTGGAGTCACCAAGGCCTACTTCGAGCGTGTTGAAGCCATGACTGGCCAGCGACCCGACCGTTTCCGGACTGATGGTGGAGGCGAGTACGTCTCAGCCGTGTTTGATGCGTACCTCAAGTCGAAGGGTGTCCTGCATGAGAAGACCAATGCATACACGCCACAGGAGAACGGCAAATCCGAGCGGATGAACCGTACCCTAGTTGAGGGTGCACGTACCATCAAGGACGATGCTGGACTGCCCGATACGTACTGGGGGTACGCAGTTCTCCATGTTGCCTATGTCCTAAACCGTGTCGGGACACGGGCACTCAAGCGTGACATCACTCCGCTAGAAGCGTTCACAGGGAACAAGCCATCCATTGCGCATCTCCGCGTTTTTGGGTGCACTGCGCACATCCATGTCCCCGACCAGCACCGCACGAAACTCGATGCTAAGTCAAGTGTGTGCACGTTCCTGGGATATGCTGAGGATCGCAAGGCGTACATCTGCCTAGATCGCAAGACGAAGTGCATCCTCGTCTCACGCGATGTCATTTTCGACGAGAGCGCCACTGCACAGCCACCCCCTGTTGAGGCTGACGCCGGTGCTCCAAGTAGCGCTAGTCCGCAGCGTCTTGTCATTGAGTCGCTGCCAACGATGCCGGCAAGTCCACCTCCAACGCTACCAGCGCCTCTGCCACCTCCCACGCCTTTGTCATCTGTGCCCACTGCTGAGGTCAAACCTGACCAAGATGCAGCCTCGGCTCCAGCTGCACCTTCGGAGAAGCGCCGAAATTGCAGAGGCACACGACCGGCTGGACCACCAGCACCGTACCCACCTGCCGAGCTTCGCCGAGGTACTCGAGTTCGACATGCACCCACTCGGGATGACGATCCTCGCTACTTTGTCAACTCATATGACAAGAGCACCATCCCGGCCAGGCCTGTTCAAGTTCCAGCTACCCCTGCCATAAAACCTGAACCAGAGTCAGCCGAGACAGTGGGCGATGCACAGGGGGAGCGATCTGAATCCGAGTACGAGGACGCTCAGGAGCATGCGTACAAAGCATCAACTTCGCTTGATGATGAGCCGCAGACGTACGAGGAGGCGATGAACCGGGATGACACGCCACAGTGGGATGCAGC